ATACATCATTTTTAAATGAAAATACATTCTCGAAACTTCATTTTGTTTCTCCGTCAATATTTATTTTGAATCACTGTATTATTAAACTGTACTTGTTATTTTATTTGTTCAGTTACATATTTATTGGTTACTAATTCTGGAGTTCATTTCTTTTGTTAATTTGTGAACGTAAGTTTGTTCTATAAAAAAGTTTGCATTTTGACCATATATTTTATCTGTTTAATAAATATATTTTCGTTTTCCATTTCCTTTTTATAGGTTCTCCGAATTTAAAGGTTCAAATTATAATTATTTGTTGTCGATTTTCGATTCATTTTTTTTTTTCATTATTTATATTTATTTGGCTATTAGGTAAGAAATTGAGATCGCTTGGATAAAATCATTTCAAAGTATTATATCGTAGCTAACGATAATTAACCTCATCATTTATAGAATACTTAGTATTTTACAATATGCATAAAACGGATTCGGGTTTTTATGTTATCGACGTTTTGCCACTACATAATACTAGCAAACGTCCATTCCATCTCGAGAAAAGGATGAAATCCAAGAAATCCTTTTCCTCATACGGACATGGTCATGGTGATGATAAACTGCTTCAATATAGCCCATATGATGCTCAAATGAAAAGAGAAGCTATCCTTGAACAAAGGCGTCTTAAGTTAGCTCGCCAATTCTTGCACGTAAAAGATGTTCTTATTAAACAACATCAGCGTGCTCTTAATGATTCTTCTGCCAAGAGATCACAAATTCAACAAACTTTGCGGCTCGCTGAGAAGAATAGGAATACCATCTTGCAACGATTGGTTGAACAGTGCGCCCAAGAAGTTGCTAGATGCAAAGAAGTTGCGCGTCAACAACAACTTAAAAACCAAGAGGAAATTGATAGACGACGTGCTGATTTAGAGCGTCGCCAAAGAGCTACCGCTGCTCGTCGTGCCAGACTCCTTACAGTGCCAAAATCTCGTATTTTCTCTAACGAGATGACTATTCCTCCTACTCGTGAAGAAGCTGCTGTTATTATTCAAAACCATTGGCGTTTCA